TCCCACACCACCGTATGGAACAGCCCCCCGTTATTAGAGATATTATCATTATTACAATAAATACAGAATGTTTTTATAACGTACACACAGATTAGTTGTTGGCGCTGTACTATTTCACTTTTCTAATTTGTGATTTCAGGGCAAACGAGAGTTGATATTTAAAAGTGATATAAGGCCCATTTGATTGATGAGTTGCCAAGGATGGATAGCCCTTATTTCGTTTCTATTTCTGGTTATATACTCGATGTTTTTTACTATATTTCAATGACATAATTCCGAACAATTCAATAGAATCCTCCAGAATGGCTGGCCACTTTATTTCTTTAATATTTCCGTTAGCGCAATGGTAGAAAATATGTCAATAAAGGTACTAAATATTAGAAATTAAGTAGTAAATAATGAGCACAGTTTGATTTTTATCTCTCGTTTGGTCCAGCCATCCTGACGGACACTTATTCTAACTATGTATATTTAAATTTAAATTGTATTTATTTCATGTGATCGTTTCTTTACATTCTTAAAGTACAAGTTAAATAGGAATGAACGTTGGTAATTAATGCAAAGATGGATTTAAACAATGCTTTTTAGTTTTTTTTAATACATTGAAAACATTGACTTACAAATAAATGGACGACGGGTCTAATACAAAAACCACGAAAAAAATGTCCCAAGCCAACCTATTCGAAATTTAAATTGTAATGTCATCGCAGTATCGCGCCGTCAGTAGAACAAATGAAGACTAAAGCGGAGTTTCGCGCTCTGTATACGATTTTAGCGCCTTACAAGTGCGGACACTTTTTAGCGCGGACCCGACGTCCATATAATTGTAAGTCAATGATTGAAAAATGTGGTACATGGCGAAAAAAATATTTTTTATGAACATTTATCTAAACAAATTTTACATTATACATACATATACGACGATTTACTTCGACATTTACGATATACACTCCATAGATATAAAACCTATAAAAAATGCCAATAGTTGTACATTACGTAGAAATACAAGACTAAACATCTCCGATACAGACATAACCATTTTTGCGCAGTAAAACTTTTTTAAATTTAAATTAAATTGAATAAAAATTTACGATACTTGTGTTTTTTTATAATGCCTAGAAATGTTTATCTTTTTAATATTTCTCATTTACGTTTTAAAGAACGCTTAATTTAAGACCAATATTTTATAAATTTTAAGCTATATCTTTTTAACCGCAGTCGATCGCTGTTTACTTATATCACTTAATCGATTTATTAGTCTGTCTTGATTAGATTTTGTAAATATTAGCTGCCCACCACCTTAGATGTGAGAAAGCATTCACTAACTGCCCTTAAAACCAACTATATATAAAATAATTTAATACCTAATGACATAAACATTTTAAACGAAATATTTTCTCATTTGTAATAACAATTATTAATACCGAAATTGTCAATTATACGTATATTTTTTATGACAAAAATGTTTATTTCATTCTTAAATACCTTAAAAAACCAATAGGCTTGTTTTACTATAAAATATAATTTTTTTTTTCGCGGTGCCATACAAAGTGCACCGTTGTGCCCCGCGCAGTGGCCCTAAATTGGTAATTTTTGGACACAGGAATAACTTGTGGAGTATCGAGCAAATTTTTTTTTATGTTAAAAATAAAAGCTGATAATAAAATGTTGGAAATAAAAAGTATAAATTTTAGGCTACATTATCATAATCATGGGAACAATTTTAGGAATACAAAGCTGTTTTTTTTTTCATGTAATAACATTCCTGATAACTTTATTCTTATGTAATTTCTTGAAAAGCAAACAATCATGTTTCAGAGAAAAAAAATTTTTAGTTTTTTTTTGTTTGGAGAAATAAACATTTTATTTTTTGTCTCGAAATGTAGAAAAATGTAATGTGTCTGGTTTATTTACAGTATAGGCCCAATAATTCTCTATCAAGAAAAAATAATCCATCTGCAGGTACTTGCGGTTTTACGAGTAAAAAGGTGGCAAATTTTTAGATTTGTTATTTATTTTTTAACATAATATACTAGTTTCTATTTAACTTTCGTGTTATTGTTATAACACTCTCTAAATTACACTGAAATTAATTTTTCTTTAGTTGAAGCTCAACAACAAAATACATTATTTAAAAAGTTGGCAATTTTGCCGCACTTATACCTACAAAGCCGCAAGTACATGCAGACGGATTATTTTTTTCTACATAGAAAATGATTGGAACTATAATTCGCTTCAATCCATTTTGAACAAAAAGTAAACAAACAAGTCACTGACCCGACCATAGACGATTTAGTGATGGCCAATTGTAACGTCCACTACAAATCGATAAATTAATTGAATGAATCGATTTGTTCAATTGAGTTATACTAGCGGTTTTCCTTACATAACCTATATAGGCCTATTTAAAATTTCAATCTAAATCCTCCTTCAAATACTTACACTTAGACTCGTTTGATTGCGATTGAAATGTTCGATGTAATAATCGATTACTAAACTTTAATTGATTGAACCGAATGTTTTTTTTTTCGAACAGCACTATGCAACCATAGGCATCACAGAAGTATAGATGAATAATAACCTCACTTTTGGACTACCATTTTTCGAAATATGATTTTACGATGCTATTCAAATGAATATTGTTGGAAAAAGTGATGATATATCAAGTCGAAATCATCGAAATATACGTGAAAGTGTTACTTATTTATATATTATTATTATCGATTTATTGAGTGAAAAAAATTAGCTCGTTACTCCACAAGAGTTTCCTATGTCCAAAAATTATCAATTTGGACCCACTATGCGCCGCGGCCGCGCGCTGCGCCAGTCGAAAAACCGTAACGCCGCCGCAGACACACATCACTAGTCTTAGTACTTACGTCTAACTTTGAATTTTATATTAATAGTTGACATATTATGAATTTGTAATGTTGATGTTATTACCATGATATTTATTTATATTTTGTGAAATTACTCCACTTTTATTAATACAAAGGTCAAATACAAAGAAAATTCCTTCAATCTGAAAGAACTCTTACCTGTATCTGTAATGTCAATCTAGGGCAACTAGGCCAACTAGGTTGCCTTAGATTAGCATTTTTGTTTTGTTAGAAGTAATTTTTGTTTGTGTTCGATATTTGCATTAATAATTTTATTACAATTAAGTTTATTCAATTGTTTTTTTGTGAA